GATGTTTTGAATCCCTGAAGAAAAGCATGTGTTGGGTCTTGAGCGATGTTACTTATATAAGTTGAACCCAACAATGGAGCGGTATTACAATCCCAAATCGAGATCCGTCCGAGTATGAGTTGTGTCAGGGGCAAGAAGAATGGCCGGGTCTACGTGTTGGGTCTTGAGCGATGGCCTAAAACACTCATCCCTCCTTTAGCACATTCGGGGCATTAACTTCTAAAACCCAAAAGGAGGAGTTTTGTAGGCAGGGTGTCGCATTCTCTGTGGATCTTGAGACTAGAGTTGTTGGCGAACTCGCCCAGATAAGGTCGGAGATGGAACTGAAGATGAAATTAGGGTTAGATGTGTTCCGACATCGGGTAGAGTTGAGAGGTAAGCAACCGGTAGTGGATGAGCTTGAGGAGGAGGATGATGAGGAAGAGACTGAGGAGGATTATATGTGTGGAAATTGAAATAATGAAGAAGGATATTTATGTTTTATTTTTTTATTTTTACACTTTTCGGACGACTTTCTATCGGAATTTCGATGGCTCTGTTGTGTATTCCAATAGATAATATCTATACATTAGAATATTGGAGGCACCACAATGACACCTTGATGGCTTATCGATGGACCAACTATCCGTTCCGACAACTTATAAGCCCACGAACAATTGCTATATTCCTCTTATGCTCCAGTTTACCGACCAGTGAAACCATCGGTTAATACTAACATTTTATCGATGCATTACCAATGGTCACCTTCTTCATGAACCGTTGTTTTTGGTATGTTGGTTACGAGTATCGAAGGACACCGATGGCTTGCCAACATTTTGTTTTTTTATCTAATGACGAATGGATTTGATTATCTAATTACCGACAAGCAATTTACCTACGCCTAATTATATGTCACAATGTAATAAAAAATTTATTAACCGACGATTTCATAAAATTAACCTACCGTCAGAAAGAGGCTAAATTTGTGTAGTTATTGAGCATTGTCAAGCTCTTACATGAGCTTTTTCACGAATCCTATATTATTATTTCTATTGAGCGTTAATTCAAAATATTTGGGATACGTAAATACATAACATCCGAAACATTAATATTTTTAAAATCTAGCACCCAGATGATATTTTTGAACTACTGAACCGATGTATTTATGCATGTCACGATCAAGTCATTGTGGATTGGGGTTTTATTATGAATTTTGATATTTGACTGAGAATTTGAAGAATAGATGAAAAATCATGCAAAATCCATAAATAGTAATGTTTCAGATACTATGTTTGTGAACATCCCCAAATTTTAATGAGTTCATACATGAAGAGTTAAAAAATATTATGTATGATTATGAAAAATGAATTATTCAAACTTGTTCATTAACTATTGAGTATTTATAAAAATGTTCAATTTAATTGATTAGTTAATTAAATAATCATGAGCAAGCTCTTAAAGATTAGAAATAATTGCATAAATGCTTGATTCTTTGCAGCCTTAACCTGATGAGGTTTTGAAAGCAGAAATATATGGGGTCGATTTGGAGAAAAAATATTACATCAGGAGTCTTGATGCAAAACTGTATCAAAACTCCAATCACAATGAGCCACATGTACAGTCCGACCCCATTGAATACAAATAAACAAATAGTTTAATACATGAAGGGGTTGGACCTTACACGTTATGCATTGTGATTGGAGTCCTGATGCAGCTTTGTATCCTAAAGTCATCTCATGGACTCCGAACATCTAAAATCATTGAGACTAAAAAAAATTATCGTTACAATTAATTAAATTAATTTTATTTCTTTTATTGTATATTAAACTATTTTGCTTATTTATAGTTATGAAACAAATTTTGCAAATGTATATATAATTTTTTTTAAAAAAAATATTTCATATATGCATTTGATTAGATAATTCATGCATGAAAGATGCAATTCATTCTTACAATGTTAATGAAAGTGTTATTTTTTAATGGGATGAAAGAAATAATGATATTTTTGTAAATATGAAAATTTAGGTGCTAGATATGTAAATATGAAAAAAGTCGGTTGCATGGCCTACATATCTTATTTTATTTTATTTTTTCATGAGGAAAAGGGATGGTGCAGAGTTGCTTTCGTTGGGTACAATTTTAGTGATTTTTTTAATATTTTAAAAATACAAATTTTCTTTACTAAAAATAGAAAAACATAGTCTTATTCTCTTTTACAAAATATCTTAGCCCCTAGAATTAATATTTATTATTGAAAATTTTTATTTAAATTTACTATATATTTAGAAACATAAATATAGTTATCTAGAGTTAACCCTTAATACCAAAGATCATGTTAGCTTTAAAATTTTGAAAATTTAGCTAAGTGAGGACAAATAAAATTAAGTTCTTTCTCTCTTTCTAAAAATGATTGTTCTTCTTCCCCCCAAACTTAAATTTTTAAAAGAATTTTTTTACATGAAGAACTTTAAAAATGAATGGTGAAAAAAAACATTAAATACAAAAAAAAAAAAATCATACCTGTTGGAGATTCTGATTTTTGAACATAAATTTTGAAATACAGTAGGTGCTAATATGAAACCTACAAGAGTAAAAACATTAAATTGCACATAATACATATAAAATTTGCTGAGGAAGAGCAAATCATAATACATAACAAAGTGCTGAAAATAACAACAGAACTAAACTAAATTCTAAACATGAAAAAAAATTTTCACATTACAGCTTCACATAACATAACAACAGAGGCTCAACAACAACATAACACAAACAATACAATCACACAGTACAAACACATACAAACAAACAAACAAAAAGATCACCAGTCATCA